GGACTTTGGAGCTGGCCCTGGGCCTGCCAGGTTGTCCTTCCAGTGGCCCCCACTCCCTTGGTCCTGCTGAGCTGCTGCTCCTGGGTGGGACCTCCCTGAGGCCAGCTATGCTTGAACAGGTCACCCCTAGGCAGATGTGCTCCCCACACTGCTCTGTCCACTCCTGCCCACCACCCAACTCCTCCAGTTCTGTTGACCCTTCTCCAGCTGCTTCTTCCCTGGCAAGCAGAAAAGGCCCCACAGGGCTCTGGGTAGGTGAGATCTGGGGTCTCCTTGACACTGAAGCTCTGGGGTAGATGTGCAGGCACAACCCTCCAAACTTACCTCCCAAAACTCATGTGCACAGGACTCAGCAGGGACCAGGCTGTTGGGGCTGCTCAGCAGAGCAGGGACACCCCCTCCTCTGTGCTCATCCTACACAGCAGGAGCCTAGAGCTCCCCCTACAACCACAGGATGAGCCCTGACACAGTGTCGCCGTCTTGACTGGGACCACCCTTCTGGGGAGCACTGCCCACTCCACAGTGGCCTCCACACAAGGTCTGAATCCTTCCCCTCCCCTCTCTTCTCCTTGGTGTCCCAGCCTGGTGGCCTGGGATGGAGTCCCTGGGACAGGCATGGGAAGGGGAGTTGCAGAGGGTAGAGGAACCTATTGAGACTGGAGGCCGGCAAAAGGAGCATAGGGATCCAGGCCCACGGTGGTGTACGGAGGCCCCAGGGCCACTTGGGGCTACCTGACTCCTACGTGGTAGGACATTCCGGGTTCCGTACAGCCCCCAATCTCACGGAGAGCTGCAGTGTTCTCCTAGAGCAGGGCAGCCTTGTTTGGGATTCCCTACAAAGATCAATGCTGGCCCTCAGGGTACACACAGGAGCACATATGCACAGGGAGCCAACACGAACAGCACAAAGAAGAGACTATTTGTCATGTGCTGGGGAAAAGATGCTCTGCAGCTCAGCTCCTGCTCTCGCACTGCTCTGGGGCTCCCTGAACAACACGAGGTTTCCCAGCTCAATTCAGCTCTGCCTTTCCATGCTCACATTGTCGTTCTGCAGTGCTCGCTGTGTTTCTTCCCAGGCAAACCTCTTTCCCAGTGACTTGCTGCCCGTGGCAGAGACTGAGGAGGAAGAAAGAACGTTCGCAACATCTTCACAATTTTGTGTGTGCTCGTGGGAAACTCTGCTGCTGCTGCTGCTGCAACATCTCCGTGCCCCTTTCCAGGAAAGCCAGCCCAGCCTAGTCTGGAGAAGCCTTCTTGCAGCCAACCACAAAAGACCTCTCTGGATTTCACCCCCCTCCTGCCAGTTTTCTCCTGGCCCTGCCTGTGTTTCAAGCACTGTGCCCTTTTTCAGCTCTCTGGTGCTGCAGAAATAGGTGGCCGTGTCTGCAGCCAATGGCGAGGGCACTTCCAGCGACAGATGATTCCTGGAGGGGTCTGCAGAGCTGCTCACTCGGGAAGGATGAAGCAACGTGCTGGAGTCCCGTGAAAGGATACTGCAACACGAGATGCTGCAGCTCTCTGCCAGGAGTCTGACGGATCCAGTCCCAAGCGTAGCTGCTGTCGCTGATGGGGGCACCAGAGACGTGGCAGGTAAGGGTGAGAGACTCGGAGACCTTCCCTACTGCGGGGCCACAGGCCTCTGTCAGCACCTGAGAAAGGGCACCTGCAACACCAGCAGACAGGGATGAACAGGCAGGAACAGCTCAAGTAATCACTTCACCTACTCCACCACTTCCCTGGGCTCTTACTTCTGATCCCCAGGATCCAGCAGCTGCAAACACACAGGCTTACAAGCTCTTGCTCCCGTGACAGTCTCAGAGCTGGGAGAGAAGCACAGACCTCCCCTTTCTCCAGCGGGCTCCCAAAGGAACCTCTGTACTTTCCCACTTCTGCTGCTCGCTCCTCAGGCAACAAAACTCATGGCCCAGACTGAGGCCACCTGAGCCCTGCCCAAAACCAGAGCAGGGCAATGCACACACCTCACCAGCTGGGCCCTGACAGGGTACCTGTCCAAAGGGCAATGAGACGAAACAGCAAGTGTTTCCAACGCTGATACGTGTCCCCTCAAGCACCAAAACCCAGAGCTGGGTGGGAAGAAGGCAAGCAAAAGGGGGAAAGCTTTGAGGAGAGAAACAGGGTAAAATACCCTTATCAGAATAAATGATTTCAAACACTTACACTGTAAGTACAAAACTGAGTGGGAGCGACCATGAATATCTATGGCACACATCTCCCTTCAAGCACCAAAACCCAGAGCTGGGACCCTGGCAGGAGGTTTGTGTTACAGCTCAGCTGGATTTCCTGTCCCCGTGTGCACAGCACAGAAGTAGCGGGCAGAGTCCCGGGGGGGCAGGGCACGCAGGGACAGAGTCGAACTGGACTGCGAATTGTCCCGGGACACCGTGGCTCGACCCTCCACTGCTGACCCATACTTCTTTACACTACCCGAGGGTCCCCTCC